GTCGCTTACGTTTGGATCCACCATTATAAATTAAAGAAATCAAATGCCTTTTTCTCTGATTAAATTTGGGGGATTGGGATTCGGGACGAAATAGATAGACTATAATTTATTTACAGTTGAGATTCCAATACAACCAACGGATAAAGATATAGTTTTTAGATTTGTGGAAGCATTATTGACATTACGGTATGATATCCCACTCAATTTTCTTTAAGTTTGATAAGTGATTTTATAAATTATATAGAATATCCTGCACGTCAATATATCTCTCCTGTTTTATGCATCCCCAGTTAGTTCAAGTAGTAATAGTTCTACGGTATCTTCTCCACGTAGAGAAGGAGAACAAATAAAAACAAGAAAGGTATGTGACGTAAATCCTCCTTTGCATGAGAGCAGGAGTTTAAAGAAGAAAAATAGTGCAATGTTTTAGAATATATATATATCTTCCTGTATTTTTTTTCATTTTGTACATTAATAAAACTGGCCCTGGTGACTAATTTCAGTGCATACATAATCGTGTTTATTTTTGCATGTGTATTTCATAAATTTATTTTATTATTTTTACAAGTGTATTTCCAAGATTAATATGGATACATTAATAACATTGGGTATACATGATCAAGAATTTTTCTTGGCGGTATACGCTTCCTGAAAAAGGATAACCGTTCTCCTATAGCCCTGAAACAAATCATAATCGTGAAGACACCCCCGCACTTGATATAACTGACGATACTTCAAATTCCAACGTATGTCAAGAGACAAAGACTCAGCTGGAGGCTGGTTCACGTCAATGTCAAGAAAACAATTTTCAAAAAAAAAAATGGTGATTGCTCATGTGCGTTATTACGCAAATATGGTATGACATACAGTATATATACTTTCAAATTGATGTAATCTCTAAAGTTCAAAATTTTTTTGTACGTTTGATGGTTTAAACAAAAAGTTGTTAAATATGCCAAATATTTTTTTTAATTTTTATTTTAAAATTTAAATTTTTATTAATTAATAGATGGTAGTCTTTTGCCTATATATTATAAAAATTATATAAATATACATTAGATACGTGTGAAAAATAAGATTATATGAATTAGTTAAAATACTCTGATCCGTATCGGTATGTGTATACATGCTGGCAAAACTAAAAATCTCAAAA